CAGCGATAGTCGCAAATGTCTGGTTCGTCTGTGTGTCAGGCTCTGTCTTACATCTATCGAAGGTTTCAATCACAGGGCAATTCTTCATTCCGAGGAGCTTTACCAAGACCCTCTCAAATTTGATCCCGATCGTTTTTTGGAGGATGGAAAAGAATCAGAATGTTCTCCTAATCCCGAGCTATATGTTTTTGGATTTGGAAGAAGGTAAGGATTTTACATGAACTTTAATATATATATATATATATATTAATACAAGTTCTAGAATTTGTCCTGGTCGATATCTTGCCCTAGAAAGTGCATGGAATCTTATCGCTTGCCTTTTAGCTACATGTGATGTAATCCAACCACTTAAGGAGGACCCAAAGGCAATGATTGATCCAGTGCTTGATTTTGCTGAAGGAATAATTGTGTAAGCACTCTTTTTTTGTATTTTTCGAGTGTAGTATTTGATGTAGTACTAATTATGGTTACTCTTACAGACACCCAAAGCCCTACAACTGCCGCATTGTTCCTCGTTCAGCCACCGCCCTAAATCTCATGAAGACTGGTTATCCGTCTGAAAACTAGTAAACTTGAATTTGAGCCACACAACTTATGAACTCACTATTTTATCACCTTTTTTAGTTCTCATTGCCTTGTAGTCTTCATGCTTCACTGAATGAAATTATTTGCCAATCGCGTATTACACGATATCTTCAGAACCACCCCTGGGAAAATTTTTCTCAGGCTCCAGCTGGTACTACTTAGACCGTAATTTCCTTTTTTCAATTTTTGTCTTAGTCTCCCCTCGGAAGGGCTGGGTCCTCTTGGTTTGGCTTTGGTAGCCCTATTTTCTCACGAAGATGACGGAAATTTTTGTAACTTATAATGTCAGTGGTCACACAGTCTATAGTGAAGTGCACGGAAGGATTTTTCAATGTGAGATATTCTACTCCCTAGCCTCTGTGACTGCCAGTCTGGCGTTCTCACAGAAACGAGGAATCGAAGAAAAGCCATGTGAATCGTCTTTATCATCATCCAGAAAAAAGAAAAACGCAAAAATAAATACGCGGCGATCCACCAGGCTGTTCGTGCTACAGGCTTGGACTACAAGTACCAGTACCAGTGTCCTCTGTTGAATTTCTTTTAACGGGGGGCGAAGTCGCAAAGTACCTGACATATCTACGAGCCATCTCTTGACAAGAAGCATCAAGCAGTGATAGAGCGGAGCTTGAGAACTTTAATTGCTAGTGACCGCGTGTTCCTGGTGGCAAATCGCTGGGTAGTCAGAAGGTACTGCGTGTTATCTGTATCCGTCTCTGATGCTACTATAAAAGTGGCAGAAATGGATTTCTTACATGGGAGGTACCCGAAACTGAGTTCCTTCTGGTTTCCTAATCCTATCATGAGACGAATTAGAGAAGAATCCTGAACCCATGACTATCAGATGGTTGAGCTATGAACGCTTAAAACCCTACCTTTGAAAGGCCCCTGTTCAACTCGAAGCTCCGAATCTTTAACATCGACATGATTAAGCATCCTAGTGAGGCTGAAATTTGTTCATGAGAACTTGTATCCATTCAAATATCTAATATCGTCATAGAATGGCATTCTAGAATAAAAGCAATATCCACCGCTGAAACCATTGCGATAAGAACGTTGATGTCACAGGTCTGGATGGAGCTATAAGAACTGTTCTGTGGCTTTTTTAGAGGTCTCAAGTATTCTTCTGGCAGTAACATGCGTACCGATACCTCAATCTTTCTTACAGGGTTTGGAGCATTTCTTTTCGCAGTCTGTTGTTTGTATATCTCCCTTCTTCGTCGCTTCAAAAATCGCCCTCTTTTGCCTCCCGGGCCAAGAGGCTACCCAATAATTGGTGATCTCTTCAATGCTATCAGCTACGCTGGAGAGGCATCTGTGCCTTTGTGGGAAAGATACTTGGACATGGGGCAGAAATACAACTCTGATGTCATACACATCGACGTCCTCGGAGATCATACAATCATTCTCAACTCTGCCAGAGCTACTACAGAGTTGCTAGAAAAAAGGTCGGGTCTTTATTCTGATAGGCCCGGTGAGTTTCGGTGTCTCTAATGAATAATTTGATAATTAATTTCCTTATCTCTTACTAGGTATGTACATGATGACGGATTTGGTCGGGTATGTTTCACGTATTCTCCTAATATGTGAACAACTTATTAAATAATTATCATGAAAAAAGATGGCACTGGGATTTCTCAAGTAAGTCTGAGCTTTTCTGATAGTTATGCCACCACCTTTCTTCATCATTAAAAATTGTTACTGTAGCTATGCCTTATTCAAATCGGTGGCGGTGGGTATGAAATTGACTAGACCATTCACTTTGATTCACCTTTTGTACAGACTTCACCGAAGAACTTTTCATCAAGATTTCCAGCCTCGAGCAATATCGGCCTATCATCCATTCATTCTTCAATCAACCTCGGGTATACTCGAGAGACTTCTGCCTGCTGAATCGAACCTATCACATATCCCCGATATTAAATATGAAAAGCTTGATTCCTATGTCCGCAGGTAAGGCGCGCGCATTTCATCGTCAACTTCTTAATTACTAATTTTTACTTTCCATGGTATGAAAGCCATGCAGGTTCAATAATTTTGAGACTTGTTTATGGAATGACGACTCAATCAGAGCTGAACACTTTCGTCGAACTTGCATCTCTCGCTACAGAAAGTGCTATCGCAACTATGAATCACGGCAGTTTTATTGTTGATTATTTTCCCTTGCTGAAATATGTCCCAGGTGACTCTGTTTATCCAACGTTAAGCAGTAGTGTTCTAAAGCCGTGTTCAATTTATTGCAATCAAGCTTGGTTTCCAGGTGCTTCATTCAAAAGAAAGGCCAACGTTTGGGCCCCAGCTGTGGCGGAAGTCATCAACGCCCCCTGGGAAAAGCTTAAGGCATCAGTCGTGAGTCCAGTTTTCTTTCGGAATAACGATCCGGCATCAGTATAACTCTGAAATAATCTACAGGCATCTGGAACAGCGTTATCTTGCTTTGCCACCAAAAATTTGGAGAAATTCAACTTGATGACAATCTTTGACACAGATTTGGTGGAAACCGATGAGGTGGACCTCGACATGGAAAAAGTCATCAAAAACTGCGCTGGAATTGCATATTTTGGTGAGCATTTTCAAGAACACTTTCACAATCATTTAAATATTGGACTTCTTTAGCTGGACTAGATACAGTGTGTTGTTTTCTTTTTCCTATGAATACTTCAATAATAAACGAGGGATTGATAGACAAAAGCACTTATTATGACCTCTATTCTGGCCATCTCTCATCACCCAGAGGTTCTTGCAAAGGCACAAAAAGAATTGGATGCCGTAGTAGGACCTTCTCGGCTCCCCAACTTCAGCGACAGAACAAACCTTCCTTATGTGGAAGCGTTCATCAGGGAAGTGGAAAGAATGTACCCTATTACACCACTAGGTAAGAAGAATTCGGCTCCATTTATGTTATAACTACCTCTGAATTATTTTATATATAGCTGTTGCGCACAGAGTCATGGCCGATGATATTTACGAAGGTTATTTTATCCCCAAAGGTAGAGAAAAAACAAATTCACTAACTAGCATGTTGACTCACTTAATTTTATAATAGATGCAACTGTAGTCGGCAATGCCTGGTACATTTTTTTCTAGAGATTCGGTCATGTAGCGCTAACCAAATTATAGGGCAATCCTTCATTCTGAAGAGCTCTACAAAGATCCCCTTAAGTTTAATCCAGACCGTTTCATACAAGATGATAAAGATTCCAGTGTACCGCCCAATCCCGAACTGTATGCATTTGGCTTTGGCAGAAGGTGAGATTCGCAATAAAATTTGATTAGCACGTATTCCTATCTAATGGACTTTCTAGAATCTGTCCTGGCCGTTATCTTGCCCTGGAAAGTACATGGATTCTTATTGCTTGTCTTCTGGCTACGTGTGATATCACCAGGCCTTTAGAAGAGGACGCAAGAGAACTTGATCCAGTGCTTGATTTCGTCGATGGGATGACAGTGTAAGTGAGGTTTATTCAATATTGTTTGGCCTCTCAAAACGATGATGAATTATTGCTTTTCGACAGACACCCAAAACCCTACGACTGCCGCATTGTTCCTCGTTCAGCTGCAGCTCTCAACCTTATGAAAACCGGTTACTCAGCTGAGATTCAGTGAGAAGTGAATATTTTTTCTCGTTCTATCAATGTATATATGTACAATCTACATCCATTTGATGATTAGCTGAAACTTATCTTATGCTATTCTCCAAAATACCATTCACAATCTCTGAGTCATCTGTTTCCTTTTGAATTTCGAGCAAGTGTGCGAGCAAGCATCGAGTCTTATGTGAGCTAGAAAAAACCAGATGAAACGACCACACAGTGAAACCGAGACTGAATAGATAAGTAGTACTGCAATGTATCAAATTCGTAGTTCATTGCAGTACTTATCTGTTCAGTAAATGAACGTGAAACATACGAGAACGTGAATTCGGGGAAACGAAAGGGAGTGAGAGGGTTTCTCTGCGACACATGGTGGCTGTGACTCTGAGAAAAAAAGGGACACGTGACCATTCATTCCTCCTCACAAAAAATCAGCGACCTCCAACTTCTTTATTGCTAACAAAAAATAGTCATCGAATCAATCAGTGCATCAAGGGGGAATCGAACCCCCGGCGGGTCGAGGGTCCTACAGGTTATGGGCCCCATGGCAACGACCCAGGTTACCACTACCCCATTGATGCGACGTCTAACCAGTCCTTGAAGCTTTACTAGTCGAGACCGCCTCGAATGTAGTTTTGAAGATGAAAACAGAATTTCCTATATGACCAGTATATGTGAGAGCGGATATGTATGCTGGACAAAAGAATACGTGTAAACCGACAGATAGAATCTGATAGATATGAGAGAAATAATAAACCTCTGCTGATCATAATGACAAGCTCAGGAACCCTGCAAGACCACATTCCTCCGCATTCAATGACCCTATGTCAAGTAAAGGATTCCCTCGACTGTCGAGAGCGCTCTCCACAACGACTGATCATCACACAAAACCTTTACTGCCAGCAGTGGGAGAGCCCCCGGCGTACACGCTTGTCCAATTCTACATTCCTTCAACTCTCCTGCCCCACCATACAACCCATTCACATATCCATACAACAAAGAGTAGCACCCGACCAACTTGGCATGGCTACCGCTGGTCGCAGAAACCGTAGCTGTAGCACGGCATAAGTTGTGGATTGGAATGGCGCGTCAGAAAGTTTAGGTCCTGGTCCGTATATGCGTTTACACAAAGACCGAAACCGAAGTGAGTGGTGGCAACAAACTGAGGAAAAAAGTCGTAAATTCGTCACGTATCGACGCCGTGACGAAAGGACACGCCCAGACAGACGAGGATATGTCAGTGAGGAAATGAGAGGTCGCAAGGTTGATTTCCAAAATCTGGACATGAAGCAAGCTGAGATCCTAGAGGTCGACGACACTTCGCATTGTAATGAGATCTATTAAATCCATGGGTAAAGTACGCCGCGCAAGAGCCAGAAGAACAACGTACTAATTTAATCCCTCTTACCCGCATCCCAAACCACCGCTGATGACCCATTCACTTTCGAGAAATCCATATTCAACCCTCTCATCCTGTACACCTCCTCTCCCCCCATCCTCACTTGTCCTTCCCTATCCTCCTCAGTAGGCAAAACTCCTCCACTCTCCATCATAATGTCCTTCCTTAGCCTCTCTTCTTCCCCATAAACGCCTTCATTCCCCCAATATGCCCACAACTGTACTCCCAGGACGACATTCAATACCAGAGCCAGGGCATAACCCATCCCCAGCAACAAATCGCCTACTTCAATGACAGTAGTAAACACCCTCGCTAAACACCCGACGACTTGAGAGAGAACAGCGAACACGGAAAGTTGGCCAGTTGACTTGGAGGTGTAGTTTTGTTTGATTTGCGGGTATTTTGAGAGGAGAGAAAGTGGGAGAGTGGATAGTTGGAGAAAAGAAATGAACGAGAGAGGTGTAAGGACGAAAAGGATTAAGAGGAGAAGGGCAGTAAGAGCAGACGCGAAGACCAAGTTGCGCTTTTTTGAAGGAAGAGATCCGGTCAATTTGTGGGTATGTCGATGCCTCGAGGCTCTCGGGTTGAGCGACTCAATGAATGCTGAAGGCGACAATGAAGAGACGAGGTCCAGCGTTGGCGGTGCATAAAATATTATGAGAAGCGTAACGATGATATTTTGGATCGTTAGAAATAGATTTTCGCCATAGGTAGAGAATGGAAAGTGGTTCCTCGAGGAATATGCGAGATTTATGGCGTATGCGAGAGTTTCGAGTGCGTAAGATTCAAGGGATATGCCTCGAGCAGAACGGGCACGAATAACTAGAAACAATGAGAAGTGATAACGCAACAATTTTAACAGAGACGTACTGAGAATCAATTGGGGTAATTTCATTATGGATCCCCCGATAACTATAGCTATTCCAAGCGCCTTGGAAAAGGCATACCTGAAGCATTCCGAGTCAGAAATATCGAGATTTTCGACCAGTGACGTGTAGCATTTCTGTCGACACTTCAGTAAAGTAACAAACAGAATTGGATGGGATCAACCTCTCCAATAATATATATACCAGGGTCTCGAATGAACCAAGGAAAGTTACGAGTGATAAAGGACATGGCCTACGGTTTCGATTGGATATGGAGGTGAACTGAAAGCCTGAAAATGGAAAAACCACACGCGCGCGTGCCGTGACCCATCCACAATCTTTCTTCAACTTGACCATCACCACAGCTGTCGCAATAGTAAGGCTACTGTAGGGATTTACTCTCTTTGTCTACTGAACATACTCACTTATGATTATCTCCATTGTGTAGCTCTTGCTTTCACTTTCAAGTATGTTCTGTCAAGTTTGCGGAAAGCTCGACGCCGAAACCAGATCAACAACCGACCGGTTCAACGAGTTCTCTGCCGAGATTGTCGAATTATTGCGTTCCAACATCGCTCCGTCTCCTTCCAGAATCCCTTCTATCTCACGAACTCTGCTTGATGCAGAAGCCGACCTGAAAAACTACGACTCTGAAGTCCTCCGACTTCAGTCGCGCATCCAATTCATCAATGATAAGCGCCGCCTTCTCAAACAGCATATACAGAAGTTCAAGTCTCTATCTGCCCCAATCCGGAAGCTTCCCACTGAGATTTTGGCTCATATATTTCGAATCCTTTGTGACAGCTCATACATATGCATCGGAAGATATGTGAGACGTAGTACCCCGTTCCTACTTGCGTCTATCTGTAAATGGTGGCGAGAGGTTGCCATTGAGCATTCACCATTATGGAGTCGGATGTCACTAGACCTCTTCGGCTTTCGTGTATCTTCAAAGCAGGACGCCGAAACTGAGATCTCCCCTATCGCGGCGCCAGTCCAACTTTGCCTTGCTCGCTCAAAAGTGGCACCATTAACGATTTTCATGCATCTTGACTGGGCCATCCCACACAAATTGATCAATATGCTACTTGAGCACGCTGATCGATGGCACGATGTCACCTTTTTTACTTTACAGTCAAACGTTCCTGACATCTTGACTCGACCCGGTGGTAACCTACCGTCGTATCCGATGCTAGAGAGTCTGAGGTTTAGAGGTGAACCCTTCGCAAATTCTCTTGCTTCATTTCGTAATGCTGCAAAACTACACCATCTGGCGATAACTCAATATCCATCCGACAAAGACATCCAGGACGTTCCATGGTATCAAATCACCTCTCTTGACTTGGAATCTGATGAAATTGGGGTCCTGGATACGATAGAGCTTTGTCCAAATCTTGAGTTCCTATCTATACAGTCTCCCGAGCCAGGAGGGAATCTTATTTTAGACCCTCCTACAGTCATGCATCGGGTTTCCCATCTCACAGAAATGAAGGTTTACCTGGAGGGTATAGCTCTATCAGCACATCTCAATATGCTCCAATTATTGATCAATCGTCTCACACTCCCTTCCCTGACCAAACTGACCATCGCCTCGCTCCGCTTTGAACCTGACGATCCGGACTCCATATTTCAAGGTCTATGGGCTCGTGATGAATTTGAACGGTTTTTCCAACGCTCGGGCTGCACAATTACTTATCTTCGTTTGGAGAA